GGAAAGAAGCAACACCACAAAAAGGGGAATTGCCATAAACAGCCTGACATTTGGGTTTGAGTCAACATGAGGAAATGGACAGGACACCCACAACGGTGGGGTTTCTTGTGGCTCCTTGTGATTTTAAATTAAAACCGACAAGGCCACCCACTTGTCCCTTTAGGGGGCAATAATTTGAATCAAACCTGCGGTAAAGCTAGCTTGGACCCCATGATGAAGGTCCCTTACTTGGCGATTTTCTGAATCCATGGTGAATCATGGCAATGATGCAGATCAGTGCATCAACACACTCGGTGATGACGTATTGCTGATCAGCTTTGACAGGGCGTGGCTGTTTCTTCATGTCAAACAACGAAGGCGCCCTTCCTGTGATATGTGCAACTATTTTCCCCCACGCATTGCAGACTGCGTCGGTACCAGCCAAGAGGGGCAAGATGGGCAAGTTGAGATTTCATGGCGAACATTCAGAGAACATGCCACAGAGAAGAGAGCAAGAGAGATAGAGAAAGAGCAGCTGAGCCGCTGACATATGATTGGTAGCCCACTTTGGGGTTTGTGGAGGATATGCGGGACAGCCCAAATTCCCGCAAAAAAGAAAAGAAAAAGAAACTGGGAGACAACGCACATGTCCCACGAAGCAGTTCAACAACCAGGGAGAACAGCTGGCACTGCCAGGTGATGAAGGCACTTTGCCTTCGCTCACCACTGGATCCAAGAGGGTTTCATATCCCAAGGGGTCGCGGCCTTAGCTTTTGCACTGCAAGCAGTTTGGGGCTTGTCAAACTTAGGATCCCCCTGTTGGATCCTAGCAATTCAGTCTTCGAGGGTTGAAGTGCAGGTGTGCCAGGCACTTGGCATTGGTGCCGATCTATTCCCGATTTTAGGGGCGCCTTCCGCGACTTTTGGGATGTACGCGCTTTGCCATGCTGGCACGGTTTATCCACGCTATGGACCTAGATGTCTTGGGGAGAGTGACCAACTAGCTGCTTTTGCAGCCTGAAAGCCCCAACTTGGTGAATGCGACAAACTGCGGGTACATCAGGCAACTATGGCCCAATTTGAAGGTTTTCAATTCAACAAAGACGAGCCATTCTGAAGGGTCTAACTCGGTTTGGTGCAAAGCATGGCAAGTCAGATGATTTGCGGACCCAGGACGTGTGCCATGACCAAGCATCAGGACAACATGTGCGCATAGCAGAAGCAAGCCTTGGGTGAATCTTCGATACCCAGACTTCCACTGATGCCTTTCCTTTTTGTTGTGGGTTTCCCTTCAAAGTCGACCAAACGAAAGGAAGGGTGTAAGTTTCCCTGGTCACTGGAGGTTTGAGAATATGAGGTTCGATCAAAATCTCCAGAAGTCTATGATTGACATGGGGACTTGCTAAACTTGTTGCTCAACCCGCGAATCAAGCAACAAATCCCGTGTCCAAAATTCCAAACGAATCCCCGTGATGAAGGTCCTGCAGGCTGTCCCGTACTTCCCATTGGTCGCAGATGTCTACCGTTTGTTGCAACCCCGAACTGGAGGTTCACATGAGAAATTATACAATCGGGGCCATTTTTGGTAACCCCTTTCAACGGCGGCACAAGGCGACACCAGGGTCCAACAAGGGCCATACTGAAGAGAATCAACAGAAGGTTAGAACGGCCTACAGGCCCAGCAATTTATCCGTGCGGCAAGAAGGCCTTTTGATTCTTCAGATGTTTTTGGCTAGATTCCTCTGATACCAGGTTTCTTGTTTGCTGATTTGAGTTGAGTTTCTGTTGCTGTTTTTTTTTTTTTTGGGGGGGGGGGTTCAAGTGGACGAAAAAGGAAGCCTGCATGTGTTCTTCAAATCTTCAACCAGTTTTGTGAGTATGCAAGCCGCGCCTGAGTTTTCATCAGGGTGACTCGGCGATGGCTTGTAAATTGAAAAAAACCTTGAAAAAGCTGGTTGGTTTGTGCTTCAGAAAATCAGGTTTTTCCTGTTGCGGCACCTGTCCCCTCAAGTGTGTTTTGAGGGAAAGCAAACGGAGACCATCCAAAGGCGATTCTAAGAGTCAAATCCCGTACCCCCAGTGAACATCCCAATCCCCACGGATATAGGTTCTAAAATGGGTGCACCTACCCCAAAATGGGATCCCATTGGTTGTCGACCCACAGCCACATGCCAAGATTCCAAGAGCATGCACTTGCTTCCAGGTACACGACCCACACCCAGAACATCATCCGGCGAGGATGAGAGGCGCTGTTCTCACCCGCTAGGCGCATAGCTAGTGAGAGGCTTTGGGTTCATTTGTGTCCTAGAATGGAGGTCCCCTACCAAAAGTGGGTGTTCTTCTGGTTCCCTTCAACCAGTCAGTGGGTCTCATGAGAAAGGAAGCCGTGTTCAGTGATCCTGCGTTCTTTTGGATGGAGATGCAGCTCAAGGAGTTGTGAAGTAGCCCAAGGCCAATTCACCCGGTGAAAATCACCGTGGATCAGGCGCAAGATAGAAAGAGGAAGGCTCAGAAGCTCCAAGCGAGCAGCACCCAACACCCCCCACTCCTTCAAGTGTTCGGCTTCTACTACCTCTGGTTCACCGCGAAATATCACAAAGCCCTTGTTGGTTGAATCAAAAGTCAGTAGATGTTGGGTGCTGCTCAAGTGGGACGGCATGCCTTTCCTTTGTCGTGCCAGTTTTTGTGGTGCTTGCTACAGATAGGCAATCATCATGGCCTTCCGGCAGAGTACCCTCCCTGCCGGAAACATGGCACCTGACAGGGGGCGCTGTATAAGAAACTCCATTTCTTCCAGGTACCCGGCCACAGGTGGCATGTTGGTGGGTTGGATGGTAAATGACAGCTACTTTAGGGTTTGTGGGGGACTGGAAGTTGATTCGCCTCGGCTCGATCTGCCGCGATCGGTCCCAACATTGGGATGATAGTGAAAGGGTCTTTATCTTCAGCACGCTGTCATGAATCAGACGGCCACACGCGCACCCACACCCACACATGAGCAAGTGACAGAAAGTACGTACTGTAGTCGTTTTTTTGGTTTGGGGACGAGGCCGGGCGCCTCCCATTTCACAAATCAACCAGGGGCCCACGTTTTCGTCCAGCACATGCAGCCATGAAGTCCGCTCCATTTGGGCGGAGGACTGTCTGTGTGTGCACGGCAGGGTTGCTCCCAAGCTACATATAGAACATTGGCATTGGGCCCTCTTGTTTTCCTGTTCCAGGGACCAACTTTCTACATTTTGTGAAAGGGTCTTTGTCTGGATATGGTGGTACAAGGGCTTGTGACGCGGCTCTGAATTTTGTTGGGGACAGCAGCACTCCGGGCGCATTCGACTAGGCCGTGAGACATGATTTACACCACGTTTCCTTCCACTACCTGTCCAAAAGGGGGGTTCCCTGCTCTAAAGCAAGCGCCATGTTCCAGGAGTTGACCTGCCGTCAATAGGGCCTTGAGCAAGGCCGGTCCGCGTCGCCGTATTTTCTCTAGAACTAACTGATGGCTTCCAATACCTACCTTAGTGGTAACTGGGAACAAGCATGGGTTCAAGATTGTTTTAACAAGCTCCTTTCGGTTTCTTTAAACGTAGCCAGAGGAGTTAACGGACCAGAGGTCAGGCATTTGAATTCATTTTGCCCAACTCCCGAAGACAAAAGCAGAGCGTACCGACCATGTTGCATTCCGGATTGGATATTGATATGAGTCACTGACACTATGTGGTTTGCTGTCTGTTTGGGGAGGCCTGTTTGGCCCATCCAAATGCGAGGGAGGGGGAATACCAAATGTCCCAATGTCTCTTGGGGAAGAAAGAATATTGTCCATGGATCGAATGACTGACAGAAGGTATATGTGTGAGTCTCTGAATGGGGGAACTCCGAAATAAGTGATTCCTTGTGTTGCTTTAGTGAGCACAAAGCGGGTACGCTTGAGAAAAACAGAGACACCCATTGAACTATTGAACACACAACCTCCCTTTTGCGTGGGTGACAGGGACGGTCATCAGCCCTTTAATGGGTGATTTGGGCAACGATTGCGAGGGTTGCTATTAGGAACTACGGCAAGCTGGCTAACAATGGTGGACTTTAGACATGGCACAAGTGAGGAAGAGTCTGTTTTTGACCCGTTGTTTGGGGAAGGTCCAGCTGCAGTCTTAAAAGGGAGGCACAGGTTAGGTAGTGACTCGACGGTTTGGCGGATGGTTCTGTAGGCAGGGCCACATGAACTCGCCGACATCGTGCCCCTTGGCGTAAACAGGCAAGCGGGCTCGCTTCATCCACACAAATGGACCCTGGGTCCTTGTTGTTCGTTCCAAAGAATAACAGCAACGCAATCTTATCAGGGGGTAATCCGCTGGAACACCATGCTAACTTCGAATGCACAAGCCCTACCATTAAAGGGATAGAGCCAGGATGGTTACCTGAACCCGGTGCACGTGATTTCCGGAAAGGGGAGGTTCGTTTATTTATGCTCTGCGTCGTTTTGCTATTTGGTACCATGGGTACCCAAAAGTGGGGTTGTTAAGGGACACGTAAAATGTGCTTTATATCATAGGAGCCCCTATAGAAAGGGTGAAGCGAAACGTAAAGGCAACCCTTTTAGGGGTTCCCCTATTTGAAGACACACTTGGTTGCTTTCCCTTGCGGGAGCCTTGGCGGGACCCTTAGGGCATACGTCAGGTCAGTGGTGAGTACGGATGTCCACTTAGGGGACTTGCATACCATGGCTTTGGCGGGCAACTACAACCAGAGATATAGCCACTTAGCGTCCTTCCAGTCAAAGGCTGAATGTGTACATGTCATATATGAACCCGTGGTATGAACCCCTAGTTTACGGGCGAACTAACCGTTATTTGTGGCTTAACTTCCATTTGGTTAAGAATATGGTTTATGTTCCCTGTTGGTTTTAAAGGGAATCTATCACTACTGACATAGTTTCTATTTTATCAGGGGACTTATGCAAATGGAGGTTCACTCTTGGAAATCCGCCCGAAAAGTCGAGGCGGGCGCAGGCCAAGCAAAAGATCATGGAGGCGAGTGTCGGGATCTCCTGCCGAGTTGGTTCTGGGGCCCGTTGTTTCTTCTTTTTTTTTCATATATATATATATGTTCACAAGCTGTGTATATATATATATATATCTATATATATAGATATTTTGTTTAACAAGCTGAAGGGCAACCAAAGCCCAATTTCGTGGGGGTGCCCCAATTTGGGAGAAATCCGTATGAATGTAGATGAATGCACAATGTTCTTTGGTTTTAAGCCCTCAGCACCGGATCCTTTTTTTTTGTGTGTCCAATTTAAATGAGACATATGGACTCCTCATGTGGTTGTGTGTGTGTGTGTGTTTGTGTGGGTGTCTCAAAATAGGTGTTCAAGCCCCACCGGGGCCAACACAAAACACTTTGGCCGCTAAGAACCTTTGATTTCAAGAGCTGCTTCTTAAGCTCGAAGCATGTAAAACTCGAGTTTCCCTGGGGTGCTCTTTAGCCTTATGCGGAGTGCATTTTCCGAGGCGCTGGAAAGCCTTGTTGGGGTTGGTTTAAAGGAAAGCCAATAGGAAGCCGTCATTGTTTGCGGGTCTTGATTTTGAGACACGCCCGCTTTGTCGTGGTCTCCTCTTCCTTTTTTTTACATTCCGCATCGCCCACAAATTTGGTAATATATATATATATATATGTCGCATATGTATATAGAGATTATTCATTATGTGATGCATACGTGTGTATATGTGTCCTGGAGAAGAGGTGGAAACAGCGCTGAGTACCCTACGGGTCGGTGTTGAAAAACAAATACAAACCTCGTGCAATTTCGAGGGGGCGTGCGTCCCAGGGGAGAAGGGGGTGTACCACCGACTACTTTTTCGCACCCACGATTCAATCAAACGTACCCACGACTAATTTGTACGACTATTCTAAATATTAATCAAAGGAAGTTTAGAAGGAACTTCCGTGTTACGGCAACTAATTGAAAGCTAGCTCTCTCTGAGACAGATGAAGAGAAGGAATAAGCGCGTGAGAAAATATGTGCGCGCGTGTGGAAAGCTGCAAAAAGCATGGCCCTGTGCATGAATTGGTGTCTCCGGAGAGCCGAAAGCTAGCCCGTTCGCGGCGCCTGGTCGGAGCGCGTTCGGACCACGTTCGGAGCGCGTTCGGAGCGCGTTCGGACCATGCTCGGAGCGCGGGCCCATTGGCACGGCAACGCAAAGGTTTCGCCAGGTTTGAATTGCGTGGCAGGCGCAGCACTTTCGCAAGGCCAGGTACAGATTTCGTGGCAGGCGCAGCACTTTCGCAAGGTCAAGTTTTCCCAAGGTTTGAATGGCGTGGCAGGCGCAGCACTTTCGAAAGGTCAGGTACAGATTTCATGGCAGGCGCAGCACTTTCGCAAGGTCAAGTTTTCGCAAGGTTTGAATTGCGGGGCAGGCGCAGCACTTTCGAAAGGTCAGGTACAGATTTCCTGGCAGGCGCAGCACTTTCGCAAGGTCAAGTACAGATTTCGTGGCAGGCGCAGCACTTTTGCAAGGTCAAGTACAGATTTCGTGGCAGGCGCAGCACTTTCGCAAGGTCGAGTACAGATTTCGTGGCAGGCGCGGCACTTTCACAAGTTTAGGTACAGATAGATAAATAGATTAGAAAGAAAGTAGATAGTTAGAGAGATAGACAGGTAGATAGAGAGATAGAGAAGAGATAGATAGATAGATAGATAGAGAAATAGATAGACAGATAGATAGATAGATACGCGATAGATAGAACATAGATAGATAGATACATAGATAGATAGATAGATAGATAGAATTAGATACATCGATAGATAGATAGATAAGATAGATAGATAGACAGATAGATAGATAGATAGATAACATAGATGGAGAGAGAGAGAGAGAGAGAGAGAGATGGATAGATAGATAGATAGACAAACAGATAGATAGACAGATAGATAGATAGATAGATAGATACATAGATAGACAGACAGACCGACAGATAGATAGATAGAGAGATGGAGTCGGAGAGATAGATAGATAGATAGATAGATAGATAGATAGATAGATAGATAGATAGATAGTTGGATAGATAGATAGATAGATATGTGGATAGATATATGGATAGATAGATAGATAGATAGATAGACAGACAGACAGATAGATAGATGGAGAGACAGACAGATACACGCGCGAGGTAGATAGATAGATAGATAGATAGATAGATAGATATAGAGAGATAGATAGATGGAGGGATAGTCAGATAGTCAGATAAAGAGAGATAGATCGATAGATAGATAGATAAAGAAATAGAGAGATAGATGGATAGATAGATAGATAGATAGATAGATGGATAGATAGATAAGATAGATGGAGAGAGAGAGAGAGAGATATGGATAGATAGATAGATAGATAGAGAGATAGAGAGATAGAGATATAGATAAATCGGTAGATAGATAGAAAGAGAGAGAGATAGACAGATAGACAGGCAGACAGACAGACAGACAGCTAAATACATTGATAGATAGATGGATAGATAGATCAACAGACAGATAGATAGACAGACAGACAGAGAGGGAGAGAGAGGGAGCCAGACAGAGACAGAGAGAGAGAGAGAGATAGGAGGATAGATGGATACACACATCGACAGGTAGATAGATAGATCAGATAGACAAGACAGATAGATGGATAGACAAGTAGGTAGATTGATAGATTAGATAGATAGCTAGACAGATAGATAGATAGACAGATAGAGAGAGAGAAAGATAGATAGATAGATGTATAGATAGATAGATAGATAGATAGATAGAGAGAGAGAGAAAGATAGATAGATAGATGTATAGATGGATAGATAGATAGATAGATAGAGAGAGAGAGAGATGGATAGACAGGTAGGTAGGTTAGATAGATAGAGAGGTAGATAGGTTAGACATATAGATAGATAGATAGATAGATAGATAGATAAGTAGATCGAGAAATACAGAAGATAGATAGAGTGATTGATAGATAGTTAGTTAGTTAGTTAGTTTGTTTGTTTTTTTTTTGTTGTTTGTTAGTTAGTAACCACCAACCACCACCCACCAACCACCAACCACCACCCACCACCCCCCACCCACCCCCCACCACCCCCCACCCACCACCCACCAACCACCAACCACCAACCACCAACCACCACCCACCAACCACCAACTACCAACCACCACCCACCACCCACCACCCACCACCCACCACTCACCACCCACCATCACCACCCACCAAGAGAGAAAGAGAGAAAGAGAGAAAGAGAGAAAGAGAGAAAGAGAGAAAGAGAGAAAGAGAGAAAGAAAGAAAGAAAGAAAGAAAGAAAGAAAGAAAGAAAGAAAGCAAAGAAAGAAATAAAGAAAGAAAGAAAGAAAGAAGGGAGGCGAAGGCAGGACAGAAAGAAAGAGAGAATGACGAAGAAAAAAAGAAACACTGAAAAGGAAGAAGAGAAAAACAGAGTCAAGAGAGGAAAGAGAAAGATAACTATACCTTCTTTTTTTTTGAAACTTCCGCCCACCGGCTTCGCCGGCTCCACTGGTAATACCCCTTCCTTAAAATTGTATTGATGGGTGGGGGGTACGTCGCCTAGGATTATACAAATAAAATCCGTTTCCCTGGGTCTAGGAGGCCGAAAATCGGAAAGCTGCCGTGGCTTACGCATGTCAAAACATGGTGTGATGCAGTGTGATTTCCAGTTCCGTGAGCTTGCCGGTAAGCCAATGAGCCTTCATTCCTTGATAAGGGTTTGGCCGGAATATTTACGCATGCCGGCAGTGCGGGAACCAAGGGGCTGCTGAAAATCATGTAGATGCATGCGCCTGAGGACAGCAGACAAATCTATTGCGTGTTCTGTAACACATACTACAGAGTAGTAAATCTTGGTTTCACCAATATACCAAAACGTGGCCGCCTTTCTTTCGAGCCTGATGATGTTCCAGCAGAAATCTGGCACATGTTGCCAAACCCCGGGCACCAGTCATTGGCTATCAGGCGGACAATGCTGCTGCCGAACGTTTCTTCGCGACCAGAGTCCCGGGAGCGTTGGTCGGGCGGGGGTGTGTGTGCGCGGAACGAGCCTCGGTGGCTGACTGAGCGAAGGCGCCAGCAAAAACTAGAGCATCATCATCTCGAGTCCGAGTCAGCTGGTTACGCAGCAGGAAGCAGGCAAGTGAGCGTCCTTGTCGCCAATTTTGACAATTTAGACTGCACGGGTGTCAATACCCGCGGGGTGCAGGAGCCTAACTTGCTGACTGCATACATCTGCGGCAGATGGCGCTTGGTGCTTCTACAAGAAGCTTCCTCCAATGATTTGCGCCGTACATTCAACTCATTTGACTATTCCTATATCACTTCTACTTGTGAGGGTGATCCTCCTGAGGCAATCCGGTCCGGTTTGCTCCTGGCGGCAGGCGGCAGCGGTCTGAAGGTTTGGAGACGGCTGGCAGACAAGGTCTATACAAATCCATGGGTTACTAACGCTTGGAAAGTTGCTAGCGAGACGCTGGTTTCCATGATCGCGTCCATCACTTGGACTGATGAGGAAGGCAATCGTCTTCTTCGGGGCGGACAGACTTCCTGGCTTGTTTGTTCGTTTCACCTGAACCATGTCGTCGCACACAACAGAGGCGTTGTTGCCCATCTTTCTCGGCTGTTTTGGGATGACGTCTTGAGCCACGGAGCTGAATGCGGTGTTCCCATCATCTTAGGAGGGGACATCAACGCAGGATTCGGTTCATTTTGGGATGTAGCTCAAGAAGTGTGCAGGGAATACAATGCGAGGATTTCGAGTTTCCGGGCCCAAGTCGGTGATAGCATGTGGCTGTTTCTGGTCATGCCGGATGGTGTCGGAAATGACAGCATCCAGCAGAGCGCAGCGCCTCAAAAGTTAAAGCCGCATCATCTTCGTATATGCCAAGAGGTCAGGGATTCGAGGACGTTACAGGCTTTGGCGTTGCTTCAAAAGCTCCACAAGAAATTGGGCCATTGACGTTCGCCCACACGAATCTCCCTATCGTCCTCTTTAAGAATACCTTCTTCAAAACAACCTTCTTTGGCAGCGGAGCAGGGGTCAGGGAAGCTAAAAAAGGCTAGATTTTCCTGCTTTGCTACCCATAAGTATCTGGTGATTTGCCTGCTGCTGCATCTTGTTTTTGGGCCTGTGTCATGTAAGGTTTTCGCGTCGCTTGGCCTAGCTTTTGCTTGTTGCTTACTTGCTTTTTTGCTTTGCTTTTGCATGTTTGTTCCTTGTTTGCTGTCCTGCTTTGGGTATTGCATCTTGCCATGTCTTGCTTTGCCTTGCCTGCTTCTGCGCGGGTTGATCTTGGGTTGCTTGTCTGGGTGTGGGCCTGTCACTGCCTGCTTGCCTGCCTGCCTGCATGTGCTTTTTGGTGTGCTTTGCTTGTGACTGCCTGCCTGCCTGCCTGCCTGCCTGCCTGCCTGCCTGCCTGCCTGCCTGCCTGCCTGCCTGCCTGCCTGCCTGCCTGCCTGCCTGCATGTGCTTTTTGGTGTGCTTTGCTTGCGTGATTGCCTGCCTGCCTGCCTGCCTGTCTGCTTGGCTTGTGTTGTTTGCTTTGTTTTGGCTCGCTTTGCTTTTATTTTGTTTGGTTTCCTGAGAATCGCGCTGAGAATCGCGCGAGCGTAATAGCGCCTCCCCCCAAAGCCACTAGCCAACGCAAAAGGAGCACGACGGCGCGCTCCAAGCTTGAGACTTGAGCGGAACATGGCCCCTGCACATATTTTTAATTTTATTAATAATATGAATATGAATAATGTTAATAATATTAATAAGTAGTATTTATATTATTTATATGATTATTGTTTATATTTATTATTAACCTTATTATTCGTATTCTGATTAATAGTGTTATCATTATTAACATTATTTAGTTTTATGTTATTATTATGTTTCTTAACATTAAGATTATTATCATTTTTAACATGAACATTTTTACTAGTATTAATTTTACTATTATGATTAATATTATTTTTATTTATACTACTAGTAAGAATATTATTATGAATATTGTTGATATTATTATTATTAAAAATAATGAGTATCATCAGTATTATATAGATTTTAATTAGTAGTATTAATATTATTATTATTCTTGTTAAGAACAGTATTACTTATAGAGTCAATGAAGCTAGTCGTGGGTACGATTGCGAAAATAGTCGTGGGAAACGGTGGCCGCAGTCGTGCGGTACAATTGTCACGGTGAGTCGTAACTACGCCCCCGCGTTTTTCCAGGGAACCAGCTATATTCTAGAAATGCTTACGTTGGGTGCTGTTCTGGCTGTTCAGCATGCGGCACAGCTGGCAAGCTGTGTTCCAGTTTTGCCTCACGTTCTTCAAATCGGAGCAATTTGGCATATAGCTGGACGCGTTGTATGATTTCAGTGATGTCCCAAGAGAAGGCGTGCCCGGCAAGGCCAGGGTGACTGAAGCCGTGAGGGCAAATCCATGTGCCAGGGGCCCAGATCAAAAGATCAGAGGGCCAGACTTGAACCTGTGTGTGTGGGTTGTTGTTGCTGCGCACATGGGCCAGCGCCAACATTTTGTTGGACTGGAATGGAACCTTGTGGTACGGTGGAATGTTCCTTTGCCTTTCCTGTCCCGTTTTTGCGCTTTTCTTGTGTGATACCAAGGGGGTCCTTTCAAGTGGCAAGGTAGTCACACGGGTGACACTTCAATATCACAAACAAAGGCCCATTTGCCATCAACCAATCTGGGTCAATGAGTGGTGACATGTTGCATCTCCCCTTTTTGCTAAAATGGTTGGGCCCAGGCTGGAGCTGCTTAAACACTTGGTGGCTCCCAGCCATCCCCTTAGCCTTTTAGCTTTTCAATGTTTAGTAGTTTCCACTTAACCCACGAAAAGTTAAACTTTTAGCGGGGGATTTGAGGGCAGCCCAGAATAAAGAGAACGGGTCTACGGATTGTTCTGGAGCCACAGCCAGTGCACCGTGCCCCTGGCTCAGGTCTTTGGGGCATCACGGGCTGGGGTCCTGGGACCGAGTCCGTTTGGTACCTGAAGAGTTGGGCAAGGCAGCTTAGAACCTGGAGTCTCCATGACCCTTGAAAGATTGGTCAATGACCCTATTATTTTGGGTAGTGACCATTTGTTAAGAGTCATGGAGACTCCGGGAAGATGAAAAGCAGACACCAGCGGGTTGCTTCTTCCTTGCTTTTGAGACCTTTGGTAAACCGAAGTGGGGGAACCGAAGATATTCCTTTGAACCTTTTTTCAGCCCAAACAGCCGTGGGCCTAGTCCGAAGGCTTCAGTCCAAGTCTTTTTGAGACGCCTTCCTTGCAACTCAGGCGCAGGAGCTATCGAGCACGATTCGAGGCCCTGCCGTGCTTCGTCAGGAGCTCGTTGCTCAAGTTGGCCCGGGATGCAACGCTGACTTGCCCACTGCGAAACGACGTGACATGATGATGTGGGTTGTCCAGCCTCTCCCTGCTTCTTGTCAAGGTCCGAACAGGTAAACCTTCTTCTTCAAGTGAGGCTTTCCGGGGGTGCAAACGCTAAACTTAGATGCTGGACTTGCTTGAAATAATCCTTCAGGCGCTAGACCTCGTCTTGACTCGCCATTCACACGAGATTTCCCTTCAGGGCCCGTTTCAAACATCAAACTCACATGTTGGAAAGGCCAATTTGAAGTCAGTTCTCTTTTGGCGCTTGGTTCTGCTTTAGGGTTGATGATTGTCTTGAATGTTTGCTGGGTGTTTCGTAGCTGTCCATCTCTCTGTTTGTGCTGAATATAGCAAGCTCACATGGAAAGCCTCCTTTAAAGATCCTTTCGTTCAGGTTGGTGAAGTATACACCCTCCCACCAACAAAAATGCCCCCTTTTCGAAGACTAGCTCCTTCGAGGAAAGCAGACTGTGCACCAATGTTTGTGGGTAGGGTAGTAATTTGCGCAGTGGATCCAGCTACCACTATAGTCGGTAACCAGGACTTGTCCCTCTGGGTTCCGTTTCTTCCATTTGCTTAAGAATATGTTTTATATGTCCTTGTAAGGAAATCTATCACTACCGAACATCTTTTTTGGAGGCGTATTTGCACATGGACGACTTGGTTGCTAGTACCAACTATAGGGGGGGACACTGGATCAACTCGGTAGCGCAGAACCCCTGGGTCAATGACAATTTCGCCCCCCCCCCCCCCCAAACCACTACCTCACTACCACCAAGGGGAATATGCAATCAGATCACATATAGCCACTATGTGACGGGTATCTCAGGAACCAGCTACAGGACACTCTCCAGAACATCCTTGTGCTTGGTGGGCATTTGGCCAATTTCTCTTAGAACGTCCTTCTGGTTCGTGTGCAGAGGTCAGAAGTCGAGGTCCCTCCTGACGGCCACGGCGGCCCACTGCATGCAGGCAAGCGCCAAATAGAGGTTGATCAAAAGGTCCTTTGCATGGGATTCCCGTTGGGGGAAACTACTAAAAAGATGATATGTCCCATGAAATTTGACAAAGCCCATGGTCGATATGGTCATTTTGGGGGCCAGGAATATTGATCAACCCCCAAACGGGTATCGAGTGGATGGCATGCAACCAGCCATAAAATGTTTGGACCAATTGCGGCTGATTTTGCGGCAAGTTCTTTCCTTGAAAGAACTGTAAGCACTCCCCTTTGTAGTGGTTTTCCTCTAGGGATTATGGATTTAAAGGAAACCACATCGAGGATCTCTTTTCTTGGGGTCATTCCATGTCTTATTCCCTATCGAACCGCATGAGCTTCTGGAATTACCCCCATAAGCCATCCCCGATTTGGTTTTGTTTGAGGGAATCCCCAAAACTTGTTGTCATTCCTTAGCTCTCGCACCAGCAATAGGTGTCCTAGGTTGGTTTGGTTAAGCATAGTGCCGGCACTGGTTTAGATGGATTTTATAAACCATTTACCAGGGGAACCCCATCGATTTTTCCAAAAGGACACCTAGGACTTGGTGTCCTTTAAGGGACTCCCCCAAAACTCGTTGTCATTCCAACACCGGGTCTTGGAGCGCCATTCATCGGGTCTGGTTGTCATTCCCTATGGCAGGCCATGGAGCAGGAGGCCTTCAGCTGGCAGCAGCCCTCCAACGCCGTGCGAGGCTTCGCCAAGGCGCAGCTCCGGCAGATCCCGCTGCTGAGGCGAGGCGCGTGGAGTGAGCCATGTGAGCCCGTGAGGGCGAGCATTGGGGGCAAGTGGGGCATGGGCGGCTTTTCGGGCACCCGAAAGAAGCAACAACTCAGTGCCCGTCATGGACTTGGTACTTCCATTTGCTTGAGAATATGTTGTTTTATTTCCCCTCGCTGGTTTTAAAGGGAATCTATCACTGCTGGAAATATGTCATTTTTCCCCGGGACTGGAAGTGTACCTCCATGAAAAGTGGCATAGGAAAAGTGTCTGTGTGTGTGTGGGTGCGTGCGTGCGTGCATGCGTGCGTGCGTGGGTGGGTGGGTGGGTGTGTGTGTGTGTGTGTGTGTGTGTGGGTGCGTGCGTGCGCGTGCATGCGTGCGTGCGTGGTGGGTGGGTGGGTGGGTGGGTGGGGGTAGGTGGGTGTGTGTGTGTGGTGCGTGCGTGCGTGCGTGCATGCGTGCGTGCGTGGGTGGGTGGGTGGGTGGTGTGGGTGTGTGGGTGTGTGTGTGTGTGGGTGCGTGCGTGCGTGCGTGCGTGCATGCGTGCGTGCGTGGGTGGGTAGATGGGTGGGTAGGTGGGTGTGTGTGTGTGTGGGTGCGTGCGTGCGTGCATGCGTGCGTGCGTGGGTGGGTGGGTAGGTGGGTGGGTAGGTGGGTGTGTGTGTGTGTGTGGGTGCGTGCGTGCGTGCGTGCATGCGTGCGTGCGTGGGTGGGTGGGTAGATGGGTGGGTAGGTGGGTGTGTGTGTGTGTGGGTGCGTGCGTGCGTGCGTGCATGCGTGCGTGCGTGGGTGGGTGGGTGGGTGGGTGGGTAGGTGGGTGTGTGTGTGTGTGGGTGCGTGCGTGCGTGCGTGCATGCGTGCGTGCGTGGGTGGGTGGGTGGGTGGGTAGGTGGGTGTGTGTGTGGGTGCGTGCGTGCGTGCGTGCATGCGTGCGTGCGTGGGTGGGTGGGTAGATGGGTGGGTAGGTGGGTGTGTGTGTGTGGGTGCGTGCGTGCGTGCGTGCATGCGTGCGTGCGTGGGTGGGTAGCGTGCGTGCGTGCGTGCGTGCGTGGGTGGGTGGGTGGGTGGGTAGGTGGGTGTGTGTGTGCGTGCGTGCGTGCGTGCATGCGTGCGTGCGTGGGTGGGTGGGTATGGTGGGTAGGTGGGTGTGGTGTGGGTGCGTGCGTGCGTGCGTGCGAGCGTGCGTGCGTGGGTGGGTGGGTGGGTGGGTGGGTAGGTGTGTGTGTGTGTGGGTGCGTGCGTGCATGCGTGCGTGCGGGTGTGTGTGTGTGTGTGGGTGCGTGCGTGCATGCGTGCGTGCGTGGGTGGGTGGGTAGGTGGGTGGGTAGGTGGGTGTGTGTGTGTGTGTGGGTGCGTGCGTGCGTGCGTGCATGAGTGCGTGCGTGGGTGGGTGGGTAGGTGGGTGGGTAGGTGGGTGTGTGTGTGTGGGTGCGTGCGTGCGTGCGTGCATGCGTGCGTGCGTGGGTGGGTGGGTAGGTGGGTGGGTAGGTGGGTGTGTGTGTGTGTGTGGGTGCGTGCGTGCGTGCGTGCATGCGTGCGTGCGTGGGTGGGTGGGTAGGTGGGTGGGTAGGTGGGTGTGTGTGTGTGTGGGTGCGTTCGTGCGTGCGTGCATGCGTGCGTGCGTGCGTGGGTGGGTGGGTGGGTGTGGATGTGTGTGTGTGTGTGTGTCAACCCTTGGTGCCAGGATGACTGCTTCCTCCTTACGCGAGGACGCCTGAAAGCCATGGAGCCGTAGTTTGAAGCCCAGTTTGGCAGTTGGGTAAAAGTAGATGGCGCAGTTCCCCTCGGTTTAGTCATCCCCTTTGCCTACCCGGAGGAAATAGAGGCTTTCTAAAATGACTGGTTTCATTCGGTGTCCCTTCAAACACCAACCAAAAAGGGGTCCATCAATTTTAGAAACTGCCCGGAGCAAATGGTGCCATCTAGTTTCATGGTGTACTCAGCAGCTTTTTTTTGTCTTAGCCCAGAGAACGGCCACATTTCTCCTCTCGTGGCTTGCAACTGCGGCTGTTGCAACGTTTGGGGTGGTTTGGGCATGGGATCGTTGGGTGTTCTTTCGTGTTGTAAGCTTTCGAGGAACCCCCTTACTTGATTTAAGTTTCGACCATCCCCAATGAACTGGCACTAGAGGCGGCTGACCCTATGGTCTAAATGGATACATGTGTGCATGCGATGTGCATATATATATATATATATATATATGTGGGAACTGGTTTAAACTCCTCATAGGTCTGGCTCAAAGGAACATAGAATAGCACTGTCCCTTTGTTCTGTCCCAGCAGCGACAGCTGCGGGGTTCTTGCCAATCCCTAGTTTGACACGGGTTTTGGATGGAAGATTGTGGGGTTCTGGCAAAGTAATCACAAGGGTACTTAGTAAGTGATGCGAAAGCAGAATCGACTTGGGAACTTACAAGCATGTTAAGTGGCTTATAACCAGGGTTACTAACCACGTAACTCAGTGTCCAGCCCCTCGCCCCGCCTTCAGCCTTCAGGAGCAGTCCGAAATTCAAGCAGGGCACCTGGTCAAGACTGCGCAGGCGCCCGCACAGCGTCTAGCTGCTGGCGGAAGATTTCGGAGCCCGTTTTTTCCTAGGAGATTGAGTTACGACCTTACATGCCAGCATGCCTCAACAACTCGTTTGTGGGCAGGCCAAAAGCAGTCGTTGGGGGTCCGTGGTTTCAGCTTGAAGTGTCTCTAGGTTGGGGATGCCTGTGGCGGTTGGGACACTTCCATCATCATCGGCGATGCATACCGGCCACGTGTTATTTTCTCCGCGCAGGTGACCTACGGAACCCTTTTGATCCTTTCACATGGATTTTGGGTAGGCTCCTTTTGCCGAATGTCTCGTTGTGACTTGAAAAGGCCTCCTGGCTCCAACCTCCTTCCGCTTGGATGTTCAGCGGACATTGCGGGATGGCTGCCAACCATGGCTGTTTAATTACAGTCGGGTCAACATGCACTCCTTGGTTTTGCTTTAATCCTTTGCTTTTCCCTAAGGCTCGTGACCCCTCCAATAGGGGCCTGGGCCCTCCAATGAAGAACCGGACTCCTCAGGGGCCCTTGAAAACAACCCATTTGGAGGGCCCAAAAAGCATCCAATTGGAGCTTTAGGGCATCTACTTTCCTTTAAAAATGGGTCAATGACCAGAAGGAGACTCCAGGTGGATGCCACGTGGGCATCGCGCATCGTGGCCCTCCAAACGGGTTGATATCCCGCCCTTCAGGCCTGCGCCACGCTGGAGCCTCTGGGCCGCGCGCTCTCAGAGACCATCTCCTCCTCAGCGGTGCAGCCCGGGGGCTCGGGGCTCGCTCTTGGCTTTGGATGTGGCACCCGGTAGACCGTCCCGTGGGGCTGGGTCAAGACAAAAATGGACCCCAACATGGTGGCCTTTGCTTTTGGTTGTTCCTTGCCAAGCTGAATTTGGTCAATACCCACACCTCCACGTTGGAATCCTGTCATCCGAGTTAGAGTCCTGTCATCTCGGAGTAATTTCCGCACCCTTTTCAGAGACTCTGCTTCGCAGAAAGCCGCCAAGCTCCGGGCTGATTGTTTGAGAAGAACCACGGCCGAGCAATTGGTCGAGCGGAATGGATGGACGAGGCCTTGGTTCGTTTTCGGCTTTAGGGATGCCCATGACACTCTCCTTGCCGAGGCACATGCGAGGGCGGCTTCCTCCGCGGGACCGGGCTGGGGATCAGACAGATAAGTCCAGACACGGTGGCTTCTCCTTTTTCGAGCCTGCTTTCCTTCACCTAGCTGTGGACACTGGGGGTCTGGGTAGGAGTTTCGTGTAGTTTTGGTTTGGTGTGAGTTTCAGCCGAGTTTCAGCACCACCTTTGGTCGGCCCAGTTGTACAGTGGCACTTGTGTCCCTCATTTTTGTTTCACCCCAAAAAGGGTTCACGGGGCAAGTCGGGAAGGATGTCAAGGAGAATGGGGATACATGGCATCATAGAGGCATAAAGATAATCTAGAATTGCCAAAGCCGCGGTGCTTGGCTGGTGAAAAAGACCCCTGCATCGTTTTTGAGCCGATCCAGCAAAAAGAGGGCTGCCTATGCACCCCAAGACGATCATGGCCCCCCACCGTGGCGCTGATTTCAGAATGAGGCCAAGTCAGGAAGATGAGGCAACAGCTGTAGGCTTCACATTGAAGGAAAGACGTGGGAAATCAGCCCCCGAATTTGGTCCAAAATGACCATGGGTTCATATAAACGAACAGTCATTGGTTTCTGTCACCTCAATTTTATAGGCAAACAATGACAGTTCCGAAAGCTTTCGGGTTGAATCCGGAGAAAGAGCTGGCACCTGGAGAATCAGCTTGCCTGCTGTGGACAACGACTTGGCACCATGCCTCCAGGGCTGGGACCGCTCATCACTCCAGTTAATTTGGGATTTGTTGCAAGCGCCCCCCAAGAGTCTGACAGTATGAAGCCTCTTCCAAAAAGGCCTAAGGGAGGAGTGTCTGTTGATTCGTTGGTCCTTCCATTTTTGGAAGGAACTGTGTGCAATGTCCCTGAAATCTCCAGACATCTCCCCTTTCACCGGGGTGCTCGGCGGGGCCACCCGTTCAAGACCTTCCCTAGCTGCTTGCGGTCTAGCTTTGGAGGTCCAGGGCCAGTATCTCCCCTTGTTTTCAGCACCCACGATGACTTTTTTCCCACCCTTTTTACAATCTCCCTTAGTGTTCCGGGCCCCGCTGGTATGAATTAAATTGGGGACCCTTTGGTGGACATCGTTCACATGGACCTTTGTGTTCACCAACCATGTTTGAAAATGTTAGCCGCTTGTGTATGTGTGTGTGTGTATTTGTTTTTCTGCGGGTACCCTTTTCAGGTTGACTAAAAGAACACCATCATGTTCTGACACTACCCAGACCGGCCCCATTACTTTACCATGATGAAAGCCACCGCCCCAAGTGGTAGGGAAACAACTCCGATTTTCTGACTTTGATACCCGGCAGAAACCATCCAAATAATGACCCCTGCCAGATGCATGGCCGCGCGTCAGGATATCAGCAACACCGCCTGAAGACCCGCACGCCTGAAAGCTCCGGGCGCGTCCCTGTTCGGCATCTCGGCAGCGGATAACCCCCACCCTCCCGCCAGCCGAGAGAGAGCCCGCGGGAAGCCATGATATAAGATGGGCATGAATTTTAATTCCGGACCCTTTGGTGGACATCATTTGGGTGGGAATTGATGTCCACCAATCACTTTTGAGGTGGTTCCCGGTTAAAAATAGTGGCCAAATCTAAATCCGGGTTCCCGGCTATAGAAGCAAGCACCTGGATGTGGGAAGGATGCCCTCACCCCCCCCCCCCCCTCCAGATTTCAAGCAACCTTTCTTGTGGACCCCTCAATTGGCACCCATGAGATTTTGCATTCGTCGGATTTGGATGGGGAAAGCCCCTCATGTAAACAAAAATGACTTGAGGGCCATGCGCCAGTCTTCCCGGCCACAACTCCGATCCCGTTCTGAACGCCCCGAGCTTTTCGCTCGCAGCTTCAGGTTGCATTGCCGCCACTTCGGCACAGCTGGATGAGTTCGAGCGCCCGACCCAGCTGGCAGTTGAGGGCTCGCGGTTCCCTACTTGGATGGTCCGGGACTGGGTGAATATCCCTGGTTTTAGGACACAACCATGGTAAGTGGGTTTACAACCAGCACTTAGCTAAGTCCCAGGCCATCTAAGGAGCGATGTTTGAGAGGAGAGAGGGAAGGAGAAGGGCTTAGAGGGGTTTATGACATATACCACTTAAAGCTTAATAACCTTTTAGCAAGGGATCAAAGAACGACGAAGTCGCTAAGTCAGACGAGACATGAGAAGACCCACCCATCCCTCACCCTCAGGTCCTCTTCTAAGACGGTTCCAAGAGCCTTTCCTGGAGGATGGGAAGGTTTTTAATATGGCTTTGCGACTTGATACCAAAGTGATAGACGGGTGCATCATGCACCCATTAGGAGGGAGCATCCCTCTATTCGCGTATGTGTCCAAATGGTCCGGGACCCCGGAATTTGACGGGTGTCCCCTTAAACCAGAGGTTTTAGCGGGTCTAGAAACACCCATTTGTTTTGATACCATTTGCAGAGCCAGTGCGCCAATAGCACGCTGATGCCTCCCAAGTCTCGCTGTTCGAAACCTAAACACCTGGATGGCAAGCTTGTTGGCTCGGATCGACACTTGAGATCACTTGAGTATTTTTGTCCTTTCCTCGTGGAAGGAGCAATTTTGGCCCGTTTTGGCTGGGCTCCTTTGAAGGGATGGCAGCATGTCAACATGTTGCGCCCTTTTTGCAACTGGATTCATTTTACCAGTGGCTTAAATGTATGAAACTGCCCCCAGAAAATTAATTCTGACTAAGGAATGCGGAGCAGAGGTGTAGAGATCCCGCAGGTAGAGAGCATCAGAGACTTCAAGGCTGGCCCCTGAAAGAGCTAATAATTATAGGTTAATTTTGTTAAAACGGGGTTTTACACCTCTCGCAAACCACCCTTCAGCCTTTGCCATTCGATACCTTCCGAGGCCGCGTCACCTGGCCACTGCAGTTTGGTCTCTCAGGCGCGCGGCTCTCACATGGCTGGTTTTCAGGGGTGTGACCATCTGGCCTGACCATCTCCCGCGAAAATTGGAATGATCCAACAGGTTGTTTAAAAGCTGAAGCCTCGGGTGGATAGGAAGTCAAGGGTCAAGACTTCAACTTTGGCTTTCTTCCACCAGTCAGTGCCATTTGATTTACCCCGGCTGGAAGATTGGCGTGGGTTCCAAAAGAGGTGTACGTCCCTGTTTGTTGGTGCTTGGGTGTTCATCCAACTTAGAAAGTAGGATACAACCCTTGTTATAAGGAGACTGACCCCAGTTGCCTCACTTCTAACCATGGTTATAACCTACTTACTAATTTGGCCGAGCACCCAAGTGGGAGGATGTCCTTTTTCCGCTTAGCTGAACGAATCGACGGGATGGGGTTCTTTCCCTGGCGGTGCGCTGCGGCGGTTGGGGAGGTTGATTCCGTAACTGAGGGAAGCTTCTGCTTGAATCCAACACGGCCCTGTAAATGAACGTGGAACTCTGCTTTGGTTTCTCAAAGGAGACTCCTTTAGAATTTTCGATGTTAGTGGAGTTCCACGTTGGTAGGAGAGTGTCGGAAGAAAACAGCCAAACTCCCAAAACAGCGCTCATTGGCTTGGCGAGGAGGTCTGCGCTTCTGGAAAAGGGACATCTCATGAATCCAAGATGATTTCCGCTGGCCAGTCACTCGCCCTCGAAGGAATGGGGCACATGCCCACTCCGTCAGCCTGCGCCGACAGCATATGGCTCAAGGCTTTGGCTGCGTGGGTCTATCCAAACATGATGTCCCAGCTCCACTAGTGACCGCATTTCGGCAAATGAAGGGGTACCCAGAAAGAAAGTTTCTGCACCTTCCAAGATTCCCTTGACTTTTCCTCAAAGCTGGGCTTCGAAAATTCTTTCCGTCGGCCCCTGTAGTCGTTTCGTGGGGTCATTATTTTGCTCGACCGAACATTTTGAACAGACAGCCTTTGAATTTGTTTCGCCCCCTGGCAAACGGAACTGGTTTCCCCGGAAGAAAAAGCAAAAACCAAAAAGCACCATCCACTTCTGAAGAGCGGGTGGATCGATCCCCCTCCCTTTTTCCTCCGGAGGGGAAACCGGAAACGGGTCCCGTGTTGCAATGGCGGCCGGCGAGCCTGAAGGCACCGGCCGGTCGGACGAATTCTTTGCCTTTTTTCAACAACCAAAAATATGGGGTGCCTAATTAATTCCTTCCCTCACAAAAAAAAGGTCTAAGTCTGACTTTGGTGTTCTTCAATTTTTAGTGGGGCAACACAGACAAACACGCTCAAGACGATGGTGTAAGTCTGAGTTTGTTGGGTAGAAAAAGCGAAACGCTCTCAAAGGGAAGGTATCACTCTGATCTTCGTTGATGAACCGACTACTCGCTTTGGGTCTGTCCAATTGTTCCCCTTTCTGGAGGGTTGAAAGTCAATCCAACGAGAACGGTTCACCAAATCACAAATACACTCAACCGATTGTTCAATCAATCAACTCAACCATATGGGTGCCCATGGTCTATGATTTGACTATGAATTTCAATGAGGAATACCCTGTTTAAACGGTTGGTGGACATGCATCCCCATCCGGAAGATGTGCAAGAGAGGGTCCCCAAATTCCACCCATCTGGGATTGTCTCAAAACAGGACCCTCCAAGATTTTCGGTTTCCCTCTGCTCCCTTGTAAGAATCACCCAAAAACGGCTACCAAAAACAGCACACCCACACTTGCCACCGTTTGCGAGGGGTCCGATGGGTGGTCCTCTTCTGCATGTTTTGCCTGGGCCTGGCGCAAGCCACGGGCTGGATGACCTACTCCGCCAACCCGGACATCTCCTCGCAGTACTACGGCTTTACGGACCCTAAGGCAGGACATGAAACAGATGCGTGTGTGTGTGTGTGTCCCTGTGTGCGTGTGTACGTGTGCGTGTGTGTGTGTGTGTGTGTGGGTGGGTGGGTGGGTGGGTGGGTGGGTGGGTGGGTGGGTGTGTGTCTGTGTGTGTGTGTGTGTCTGTGTGTGTGTGTGTGTGTGTCTGTGTCCGTGTCCGTGTGCGTGTCCGTGTCCGTGTTTGTGTCCGTGTTTGTGTGTGTGTGTTTGTGGTTGTGGTTGTGGTTGTGTTTGTGGTTGTGTTTGGGTTTTGGTTTGTGTTTGTGTTTGTGTTTGTGTTTGTGTGTGTGTGTTTGTGTGTGTGTGTCTCTGTGTCTCTGTGTGTCTTTGTGTGTCTGTGTGGGTGTGTCTGTGTGTCTCTGTGTGTCTGTGTGTGTCTGTGTGTATCTGTGTGTGTGTGTGTGTGTCTGTGTGTATCTGTGTGTGTGTGTGTCTGTGTGTGTGTGTGTGTCTGTGTGTCTTTGTGTGTCTGTGTGTGTGTGTGTCTGTGTGTCTCTGTGTGTCTCTGTGTGTCTCTGTGTGTGTGTCTGTGTGTGTCTGTGTGTGTTTGTGTGTGTGTGTGTGTCTGTGTGTTTCTGTGTGTCTCTGTGTGGCTCTGTGTGTCTCTGTGTGTCTCTGTGTGTCTCTGGGTGTTTCTGTGTGTCTCTGTGTGTCTCTGTGTGTCTCTGCGTGTCTCTGCGTGTCTCTGTGTGTCTCTGTGTGTCTCTGTGTGTCTCTGTGTGTCTCTGTGTGTTCAGTGTGTGTGTGTGTGTGTGTCTGTGTGTGTCTGTGTTTGTCTGTGTGTCTCTGTGTGTCTCTGTGTGTTCTGTGTGTGTCTGTGTGTCTCTGTGTGTCTCTGTGTGTCTCTGCGTGTCTGTGCGTGTCTCTCCGTGTCTCTGCATGTCTGCGTGTCTGCGCGTCTTCTGCGTGGCATCTGCGCGTCTTCTGCGCGTCTTCTGCGCGGCGTCTGCGCTTCTGCGCGGCTGCATGCGCGTCTGCATGCGCGTGTTCATGCGCGTCTGCATGCGCGTCTGCATGCGCGTCTGCATGCGCGTCTGCATGCGCGTCTACATGCGTGTCTACATTCGCGTCTGCGCGTCTGCGCGTCTGCGCGTCTGCGCGTCTGCGCGTCTGCGTGTCTGCGTGTCTGCGTGTCTGTGTGTCTGCGTGCCTTCGTGTTTGCGTGTCTGCGTGTCTGCGTGTCTGCGTGTCTGCGTGTCTGCGTGTCTGCGTGTCTGTGTGTCTGTGTCTCTCCGTGTCTGTGTCTCTATGTCTCTGTGTCTATGTGTCTCTGTGTCACTGTGTCACTCTGTCACTTTGTGTCTCTGTGTCTCTGTGTGTCTGTTTGCGTCTGTGTGTCTGTGTGTCTACGTCTACGTCTGTGTATCTATGTATCTACGTCTACGTCTGTGTGTCTGTGTGTCTGCGTCTGTGTGTCTCTGTGTCTGCGTCTGCGTCTGCGTCTTCGTCTGCGTTTGCGTCTCTGTGTCTGTGTCTCTGTGTCTGTGTCTCTGTGTCTGTGTCTCTGTGTCTGTGTCTCTGTGTCTCTGTGTCTCTGTGTCTCTGTGTCTCTGTGTCTCTGTGTCTCTGTTTCTGTATCTGTCCGTGTCTGTGTCTGTGTCTATGTCCGTGTCTGTGTCTGTGTTTGTGTGTGTGTGTGTCTGTGTCTGAGTGCGTGTGTCTATGTCTGTGTGTGTGTGTGTGTCTGTGTGTGTGTGTGTCAGTATATGTCTGTGTATGTCTGTGTATGTCTGTGTGTGTCGGTGTGTGTCTGTGTGTGTGTGTGTGTGTGTCTGTGTTTCTGTGTTTCTCTGTGTGTGTCTGTGTCTGTGTCTGTGTCTGTGTCTGTGTCTGTGTCTGTGTCTGTGTCTGTGTCTGTGTCTGTGTCTGTGTCTGTGTCTGTGTCTGTGTGTCACTGTATGTATGTATACATGAGTCTGTGTGTGTGTGAGTGTGTGTGTGTGTCTATGTCTGTGTGTGTGTGTCTGTGTTTCTGTGTTTCTCTGTGTGTGTCTGTGTCTGTGTCTGTGTCTGTGTCTGTGTCTGTGTCTTTGTGTCACTGTATGTATGTATACATGAGTCTGTGTGTGTGTGAGTGTGTGTGTGTGTGTCTATGTCTGTGTGTGTGTCTGTCTCTCTGTCTTTCTGCCTCTCTGTGTCTCTGTGGGTGGGTGGTTGGGTTGGGTTGGGTTGGGTTGGGTTGGGTTGGGTTGGGTTGGGTTGGGTTGGGTTGGGTTGCGGGGCGGGGTGGAGTGGGATGGGGTGGGGTGGGGTGGGTGGGTGGGTGAGACTTAAAAGAAGCCCCCGTTTTGAGGGTCCACCCAATTTTGACACACACGCACGCCCAAAAGCAATTTGTTTGCCACGTGACAGCCTTTGTTTTGCATCTCTGGCTTTCCTTTTCTCCGTTTTTTCCAGCAAGAAGTTACCTTTGGGCAGAGGGGCAGGTCTGGCGAAGATTTCAGGCTGCGCCATTTACAACGAGCTCGTGGGCAAAAAGATACATGATCTTTTGAGAAGTCTTTCCCTTTGGCAACACACTGGGTCCTTGTGACCCAAGTCTCAATTTTGGGATGTACCCCTGAGGCGTCCATTGACATGCTGCTGAACTGGGGGCCCCTCATGTATCTGCCGGTGGCGCCGGTGGTGGGGTGGGTCGTCGCCAAGTATGCGGACAGCCTGTGGGGTGTCGTCCTGTCGGGAGCCGTGCTTACAAGCGCCGGCCTGGTTTTGAGGTGCCGGGGCTTGCAACAGGTTGGGCGAGTGATTCGTGACGCTTGAAAGACCTCGGGGGTTGGTGCCGTTGGTTACTTGGGCTACAACTTCTCTTCACCGCTTCCAAAACATGACCCAACACTGGAGCCCTTTTTGCGGACGGTGTTTTTGTTTTCTTCGGTGACATTTTGCGCCGCCTTTTTCAGAAAACCGTTTTAGCTGCTATTTTAGCCCAACAACAAGGATCGACATCTTGTCCATTCCAAGGTCCCCTGATGCCTGCTACAACACCCAAACCCCCCCAAGCCTTTTGCGTTTTTGCGGTTTTTACACCTTTGTGTGTTGCTGCAAACCTTCGGGGGTTCGACAGACCTCAGGTTCAAAGGGTCTAAACGGGGAGCCTTATATTTCTCTTTTTGCATCATATTTTGGCTTTAGTCAGGTGGTCCTTTTTATCTTGGACAGAATGTCGAGCCCAGATGAATCAATCTAGCACATTGCCAGGTTTTTTTTCCATCTAAAACGTGGCACACCAAATTTATTGCAAGCTCACAAGGGAAAACCATCCAAGCCTCCAAGCCCAACCAGCGAAGCACCAAACCACACCATGGTATGTCTTATTTGAGGGTACCGAGTTTGTTTCCCGGACAGCAAAGCATTGGGGTTCTGACTGGAGGTTTAAAGAATGGGAAAGTGTGAACGCTCCAGGGTCGTGTTTTCCACTTACTTACCTTCCTGTCTCCCAGTCTCTCCGGTCAGATGCCAGATGTTCCTGCTTATCTCCCAGTCTCCGGTCAGTCTTGCCTCCCACAGTCTTGCCTCCCGCTCGCTCCTTTGTCTTCCAGTTTCTCCGATCAGAGACCGGATATGAGATGTGGGGGTTCTCTTGCTTGCTGGCCAGTTGGCATTTTTCCTGCTTACAGCCCTCAACAAAAATCAACGTCTGGGGCAAAACCAATCGAACTTGCTTCTTCTCTGCAAGGACCTTGCTTGCTTTGCACGCCAGCAACGGGCCGGTTGCGTGCGATGGCCACGCCCTGTCGCTGTACTGGGCCGTCGTTGTCCCGTGGTGTTTGTTGTTCGCTGTTCGGGGTCGAGGCTGGTGTAAGTTAAACGAAACCACGTGAAAAAGCACTCTCTTTCTTTTTTTTGGGGGGGGTGGCCTAAAACAAGACCCTCCCACATACGGGCAAGGTGAGTTGTTTTCAGCAGGTTGGTGCCCAGCCTTCTCGCCATGGACCCCACCTGCTGGGCGGCCCATGCGCTGATTCACACGGGCCAGGCAGGAAGGTTTGGTCGCCGAGGTGGAGAAGTTGACCTTAGACCTGGCATCACCAATTTGATCAAACAGCCGGATTTTGAGACCCCGAACAAAACCCGCTGGGGTGTGGTCTGTGCCATGAATTTTGCTTCTGGGGCTGATTCCCTTTTACCTACCACTTAAAGCAAAACTTCATGGTTTGTTTTCCGGGCTTTTGGGAGGAGACAGGGCTTCTCAGTGGCCAGGCTTTGAACGGCATGGCCGGGCCCATGAACTGTGTGACGCCCTCCGCCCTCGCGGCGCTGTGGTTTCCCTCGCGCCCTGGCGCGGGAATGGACTGGAGAAATGCAGCTGGCTTCGGTGCGACCAAACTCTTGTCCCCGGCAACCAAACCCTCCTCCAAGCGGCACCCAAAGGATGCTGTAGTGGCCAAGTTTAAGCAAGGCAGAACTGAGCCTCTTGAGGGCCGCCTTGCCGTCTGCGGAAGGTGACCTGGATTGCCCATGGCCCATGTGACCAACACGTCCTATCACCATCGGCCTTGGCTGGCAAGTATGAGTTTTGCAGGTTGATAGGTATCAGTTTTGGGCACACGCCGGATTTTCGCATTGTCGGGTACTCAAATCAAGCGACTCTTGGGGTCTTTGCAAAAACCAACTTGCCAACCAACTATTTCAATTCTGATTCAATTCTGGTTGAACATTAGTCAAACTGCTAAACACTGCCAACACTTGCCAGCGAAGTGATTGGACTTGACGGGAAGCAACACTATTTCGTGGCTGTTTTGTGGATCCTTAGCCCCTTAGATCTTTGGGAAAGTTTTTGAGTTTGCCGGATTCGAGCTTCCCTTAGGGATCCGTTTAAACTGGAAACCGAAGGATCGCCGTTGCTGGTCTTTGGAGACGTCTGAGGAGCAAGCCAAATCTAAGGGATCTTTTGAAAAGCGCTGATTTGAGTTCCGACCTAAGGGAATCTAACCGTTGTTTGGAAAGTGTTTGAGAACCTATTGGAAACGTTTGATTTGCCGGTGTTGAATGTGTGCTTTGGGGAATGGACGACCCACTAGAACAGAAGCTTAACCGCAGGATTGGCTCATTCTCACAAAGGAACCCCTTTCAGGTCACGACGGAAGAGACAACCAAAGCCCTTTGTGAGATGGCGATGGCCCTTGCACCCGTTTTTCGGGTCAGACACTGCCCAATTCGCTGATTGCTTGCCAATTTGTTGAGAAGATCTCTCTGATCGTAATACAAATCGGTGGGGCTAGGGAAGAAATCGTCCAACCCCCTTCCCCCTGTTCCCCGAAAACAATCCATGCTTCGACGCCAACAATTTCTTTTTTGGGCGCTGAGGGTGGTATGTACGTCTTCGGTGATGGGAAGTCTGGAAACCAAGGGAGGGGGTGCAGTCCGATTACGGTTTTCTCGTGCTTTCGAGCCTTTGGCTTCCGTTTGGCTTCCGTTTGGCTTCCGTTTGAGGCACCAGCGCGCATTTGCCACCTCAGTGGTCTACGGCATCCAGATGGCCGGTCCCTCCGTGGGCTTCCTGCTGGCCTTCTCGGTGCGGAACAGCCAGCAGCTGCTTCTCGGATCAAGCTTAGGCTACTGTGGTTGCGAAGTCCATTTACCGAAGTGAAGCCATGGTTGAAACCACAACGTTTGTTTGTGTTTGCAGGGGAATCGAATCATTCCATTTTTTTTTGGGGGGGAGGGGCGGGGGTGCAGGATTTCGTCCATCAGTAGCTCGGGATCCGGGAGTTCGTGGGCTTTATGCTTTTTTTTGGGAAGATCGTGTTAGTGGTACACAGAAGGTTTGGACTTTTTGGAGGCCACTACCTCAAGTGGGATGGACCCCAGAAAAGGGATTGACTTCTTTTTGGGTTCCTAGAAAGCGACCCATGACCCCTCTAATTGTAGCAACAATTTCCGGTTTTGACAGGGACTCTTTTGCTGGTGTTCAAGGGAAACCAAAGTGAAACCGAAAATCAAACCGAAGGGAAACCGAAAATCAAACCGAAGGGAAAGCGAAGCACTTTTTGCTGCGGCACTTGATTCTCCAGCCATCCCACAAGGATTTACCATCATCCTACATCCCAAAAGGGCAGCATCGAGCCTGCATCCTCTCCTACAGCGGCTTCCCTCCAGCACCCAATGTGGATTCTTAGCCGTGTTTGCGTTCCCTCATTGGCTCTACAGAATTGGTCCGGAAATTTGGTTTATCAGGGCTGTTTCGATGATACAGTTCGGTACTGCAAGCTTTGGGATACCACTCGATTTTATTGGTATATGTATTGCATTGAATGTCCGATATGCTTGCGATACAGCAACTTAGTGTTGAACACTATCTCGATAAAGGAAGTACGGTCAACCGCTGGTGCGCGGGCCTGCACGGCATTGCCACAAGAGGCCGGCTGGTGGGCCGGTTTTCGGAGAAGCGGACAGCGATTTCCGTCGGGTAAGTTGATTCTCAGTGTCCGTTTCGAATGCGCTCTCAAAGCCCGAAAGGCAAGAATCAATCCCGCTATACCAACTTAAAATTTGCTGCCTTTGCCCTCAAACACAATCTAACTCGACGAGTTAGGTTCATTTCTGGCCTCGGATGGTTGCGGCTGTTCCGGATGAGCCTTGGGAAGTGGGAACCCTCAAGAACGATCTAACTCGCCGAGTTAGGTTGATGTCTGGCCTCGGCTGGTCGCAGCCGTAAATGTGCAATATGGAATCGGCTTGAAGCAATCTCAGTCCGTGCTCCTGGCTTTCCATTTGTCCAGAGCCATTAGACCCTTGTGTTTCTGAAAGAAGAGGGTCTCTTACAAGCAGCCTCTCAAAGACTTTGGCGGCGCCTCCCCGTGCCAGGCAGCCGCCATTATCCGCAGCAGCTGGCTGCCCTTTTGGCCCCAAAGGGCCCCTCAAAGCAAACCCCAAATCGGTATGATTCAAAACGATTTCCAGCGATAGTCTTCGATACGATTTGAGGCTGCGATACTTGCTTCTCAATACCGATAGCTCGCAATACGCAACGATACGATTCGGTATGTTGTATTTGTATTGTTGAAACGGCCCTGTTTATCACCAAACTTGACTTCGTTTGTTTTGTCGCTGGTGTTTTGTATTCCTAAGACTTTCCTGATGACCAACCTCACTCCCGGTGAAGTGAAAATGGTTGTTGAGCATCCAAGTACCTGTTTTGCTTAGGATTCACTGCCATTAATAAATATGGTTACCTACAGTGAATGTGAGCATTCAAGTACCTGGATTGGTTCAGCATCTAAGTACCTTAGGAGCATCCAAGCATCTGTCCCAGGATTGTTTATGACCAACCTCACTTATCCCAGAAACAGGTATGGTTACCCACATAAGTGAAAAGTGAGCATCCAAGTACCTGTAGGATATTCCTTATGGAGATGGAGGCCCTCTTCAGCCTCTTGGTCTTGGCCGCCTGGGGCTGCCTGCCCCGAAAGCCCAAGCACCCACCCTCGCTGAGCCAAGAGCTACGGAGCCGCGGCTCCAGCGGCGCCGCGGAGCCCGTGCCGCTGCGGAGACGCTCGGAATGAGACGCGGGCCGTGGCTGGAACTGAGGGTTGATCAATATTCCATTTAGGGCCCCCAAAGGACCATAGCTTTTCCCATTGTGTGGGGAACTGTCAAAAATGACCAAGGTAGCTTGTTCGCATTTGGTGGGAAATAGCATAGTTTTAGAGGTTTGCCCAATGGTCATCCTATGTAAAGGACCTTTTGATCAGCACCCAAATACTGTGACATGGTTGCGAAATCCATTTCGCACCACATTGAAGGCTGCGAAACCATTGCTTCTTGGATTTGCAGGGGAAGCAAATCATTCCAGGGGTTTTGGATGTCTGTCAGCATTTCGCCCATCAGTAGGAATCGGACTCCAAAGTGGCAGCGGATTTCCTTTGGTGTCCGACTTTCAATCTAAGGGGGTCCCCCAAAAAGACAGCCCGATGTGTGCTTCGGTGGTTGGTTTTTGCGGATGAAATTTGTCCAGTTTGGATGTTGCCTCCAGGTGCACGTCCTTTTTTAGACGGTTTTGGATGCATATTTGGTGGTTTGTTGTTGGAGTTTCCCCGGTTGGGTTTTGTTTTCGCTGCTTAGAGGGATTGGTGAACTGTTCCTGTAGGTTTCAAATATTCTAAGATGAAGTCTGAAACACTGCGTTTTTGTTGGCCGACTGGTTAGATAACTCTCGTTTGTATGTCTGTATTTGTTTGACGTGTTTCAAGGGGCTGATGATATGCCCCTTTCTGTGTTTGAAGTCATATGAACTAAAGCGGTGTATGATTTGCTTTTCTCAGTTGGTTTCGATCAGCGTTGTCTTGTTTCAGGTTGGTTGGTCCGGCCCCTTTTTGGAGTGCTCGAGAAGGGAATTCAAAGGGAAGCGAAGCCCATTTTAGAGGTTCATGCGACAAATCCCCCAAAGCAATTTGTAGGAAGCCCATGGCTCCATTTGCCAAACAACAAAACACCCAAAGGGGACCCGAGTTTGAAGGCAAACTGAAGACTGTGTTTGAGGTTCCCACATGCAGTTAAATGAAAATGGGCACTACAAATCCAAATATTCCCGGGTGCCTGGCTCTTGGCGGATGAAAAAAACTATGGGAGGCCCCAAAAGCTTTGTGGGGTCCTGAGGACCGGGAGTCTGGCTAGAGGGACTTGGGGGATGAAACATGTTTTTGGAGGCCCCATAAGTTTTGTGGAGACACAGGCCCTGCAATATCAGGAGGAGAAAAGCACTTGTGACCCCTTGGGACTCTGTATGTTCGCTTCCAAAAGCGTATTGAAAAAGGAAAGGCTTAGGGTGGCCCCTTCCTCCTAAATAAACTTTCCAAAGGCCCAAAAGTTGTTCTTCTTTCTGTTTGTGAGGCCAGACATGCTCAGGGGACTCTGCATTTAACCAGGCATGGTGCTAATTTCAATAGCATATGTAACGAGGCGAGGTGGTAATTATCCATCGGTATCTAAGAGACGAGGTGCTAGTGCTCCGGTAAGAATTACCGAGCGAGGCAGACGAGGTAAGAATTATTGTAATTTTCCCAGATGTTTTAGTCTTTGGTTCCATTTACCAGGGTTCCATTTTGGGTACGCATTTTTGACCCACAGCCATTTGGAGACACCAAAATGGTGGACAAAAACACCCTTTCTGCAATACCCATCCTAGTCAAACACAGGCCTTGCGATACCAAACTGAACCAACTTGTGTGACAACTTTGTCAGTTTTGGACATTTCTTTCAGCTGAAGAAGTTCAAATTCCAGAAACCTGCCTGTTTTTGTGCTAGAAATTGTGAAGCAGTTGGACACAGTTTGGATGCGGCAAATCTGTGGGTCCACCCATCGCAGAAAGGGTCTCCGCTGCCCCACCAGGATGGGTCTCCGCCTCGGTCCTCGTGATGGCGGGCAGTTTGGCCGTGGGCGTCTTCCAGTGCTGGTCCCCAGCTCTGCCAACGCAGCTCGAGGGCGTGCTGCCCAATGGCTTGCTGAAGTGGCGCCCGGGCTCCATGGACTCGGCGACCTTTTTTTTTTAAGGCAGCGGTTTTGCTTAGGATCGTCTAGTGGTTGGTTTCCAACTGCTTGCCTATTTGTTTGTTTGTTTGTTTGTTTGTTTGCTTGCTTGTCAGTTAGTTAGCTAGTTAGTTAGTTAGGTAGTTAGGTAGTTAGGTAGTTAGGTAGTTAGTTGATTTGTTTTGCTTTGCTCGATTGTCGGTGTTTTTTTGTTTGTTGCCTTTGTTGCTTGTTTCATTCCCTTCAACACATTTGTTCGTTGTGGCTTGGAAAGGCTGTTCCTTCAAGAATCCACCAACGTTCCTTTCCGCGCTTGTGCTTGTGAATCGCCGCCCAGCGGTGTCTGGCTCCAAGCTCAAGCCATGTTGCTGACCTTGATGCGCTGGTGGAGGGCTCGTGACGATTTGGAGCAAGATTCGGAGGGGTCCGCTCCGGGCGTTGATTTGGAGCTGTGTCTTTGCAGCCTGGATGGCCGGGAACATCACTTCAGTGTGGCAGAACAAGTCCTTGGGAGGGAGCTGCTGCAGCTGGTCAGTCAGAGGTTTTCTGCGAGGCGCGGGGTGCTTCATGTGAGCTTTGGTGGGAAGTTGCTTTCAGCAGATAGAACGCTGCGAGAGCAGGGATTGCAGACGGCTTCAGTCGGCATGATCACCTACTCGTACCTTCCAACGAACCTTCAGGAAGCATGGCGCGTGCTGACGAAATACAGGGCTCCCCATTCGCATTTTCTGCAGCAAGAACGACAAAGAAGTGCTGATTCCGAACGACTGGAAGGAATTGCGCGGCTCAGGTGGAAGCCAGAACGGCATCAGCCACTTCTTCCTCCGTGCTTGCCAGTGACGCTGCAACATTTGACACTTGACGGCAGCTTGAACCACTGCTGGTACGGGGAGACTTTACCCGAAAGCCTACAGAGCCTGACTTTAGGCAATGAATTCAATCAAGAGATGCAGGGGCTGACTTTGCCGGGCAGCCTGCGGAGCCTGACTTTTGGCCATGGATTCAACCGACATTTGAAGGGAGATACTTTGCCAGCCGGTCTGGAGAGTCTTACATTGGGCAATGCGTTTGACCAAGGCTTGGAGGAAGTGTCTATGCCAACCAACCTGCTCAGCCTGAGTCTTGGCAAACAGTTTAATCACTGCCTGCAGGCGGTGACATGGCCAGGCAAACTGCAGAGCCTGAGTTTTGGCGAGCGCTTTAATCAAAACTTGAAGGAAGTGACCCTGCCAGGAAGCCCACAGAGCCTGAGCTTTGGAGATGGATTCAACCAAAGCTTGGTAGGAGTGACATTGCCAGCTGGTCTTGTGAGTTTGTCTTTTGGCAGCAAGTTCAATCACAGCCTGCAGGGAGTAACTTTGCCCCACAGCCTGCAGAGCTTGACTTTGGGCAATGGCTTCAATCATTGTCTGAAGGCTGTGACTTTTCCCGGCAGCCTTCAGAGTTTGTCCCTTGGAAGCAAGTTCGACCAAAGCTTGCAGGGAGTCAATCTGCCAAGAAGCCTGCAGACACTGGGTTTTGGCACCGCTTTCAACCGACGTTTGATCGGGGTGACTGGACTAAGCAGGCTACAGAGGCTGACTTTTGGCGATGAGTTTCGCGAACACTTGGAGGGAGTGACTGTGCTGGGCAGCCTGCGCAGCCTGGTGGTGGGCAAATGGTGTAATCAAGTCTTGCGGGGCGTGACTCTGCCAAGCAGCCTGCAGAGCCTGACACTTGGCGGCCAGTATGACCAGCGCCCAGAGGGATTTACTTTGCCGGACACGCTGCAGAGCCTGATATTCAGTGACCACTTCAATCAGAGCTTATTGGGCTTGGCTCTGCCAGGAAGCTTGCAGGGACTCACCTTTGGCCAGCAATACAATCGCAGCTTGCAGGGAGTGACTTTGCCAAGCAG